ATGCAAGAAGGAAGAAGACAAAATGGCGATTGGTGAAAGGACGTACGACTGGAGGCAAAAGGGCGGTTTTCCTATACGCTCACGAAATGCCGCGACCGGGCTACCAAGTTGATAGCGTATCGCTTTCCACGGGACCCAAAGGTTACCGAATCGTTTCGAGACTATCTTAATGGTTGGATAGATCGTTTGATACTATGGGTGAGTCGTAAAGGCTATTGCTCTGCCCTCCGTCCTCTCGTTTCACGTCTTTTCAACCCCCTCGCCACCCTTCCAGCTGGAGGAAAGCTGGCTTAGCGCCACTCGGATGTGTCTCGTCCCTTCTGTCTCTCTATACGCACCTCATTTATACCCCCCGAGAAACGTCGACATTGAACGTCGCTTAAGTCGATTGACAATTGTGCCGGCTCTCCTGTAATTAATTCACGCGTGTCGGTTTAATTGTTTCTTAACCAACCACCAATTAAACGCCTCAATCGTGCACTGTGTTACCACTATTAAGAAACTTTATTTTACATCCTACAAGATTAGTTGAGAATCATATTTGTTAAGAATCATATTAGTTACAGAGTTAATTAATTGTATTAATTCTGGACGGAGCTAAATAAGTACGAGGGTTACTCAGTATGGGGTGCAATAATTTTTACAGCACCCCAAAATACGTTCTGTTTCTTAAAGTGTGGATTGCAGTGATGAGACACAAGTTGATTTTAGGTGAGTAAGGTTAAATGAGACAGTCCATATAACAAAAATCGCGTGGACTACTGACATACTTATTCATTCTATGATAATCAGACTGTGAATATTTATGCATTTATACATCAAGGTTTCCATGGATTGTGGATATCATAGATTATATAACTCATTTACATTTTGACCTCGATGCATCAATAACGCGACATCCCTCGCAAAAGACAAGAAATAATCACACACAAAGACATTATATAAAATTAGACACTTTACGGATTCTAGAATAAAAAATGGTGCTTTCTTAAAATTTAAAAGTACGCGAACAAATGTACGATATTCACCGTTCTGTTTAATGTGTACAATTCGAAAGTAAAAAATCCCGACGTATTCATCGCGAAAGCGTAATATAAATACAAAATTTCCGGGAAATAAAAGCTCCAGCGAGCCGTAGGTATACGATAACCGTAATAACGCGACGGCACGGATCGTCCGTTATTCTGACGTAAAAACGAGAATTAGTGAAAATCATTCCGCGTGTTAATGTATTGTTAATCGCTTGTCCATAATTCCACGGCCGTTCGCGGTTCTTATCTCCGTAAATATTTCGAAATTTTCGCGGTACGCGAACGGCCCCGGTAATATTTAATGCGATTCCCCTGGAACATATTTAAAGGCGTTAACAATAATTAAAAATTATGTTTATGGCCAGGGTTTAGCCGCGAGTTCGCCAACTCGGATATGCGTTGAAAATATTCGAAAAATCGATTCGACACGTGATTGCGTCAAACGGCTTCGAAGACGATTCGAAAATTTATTCAATGAAAATTTTATTTAGTCTTGTCTCTACATTCACAAGTTTGCAAATCTATATGGATTCTTAGACCACTAAACTATATTCTCAAATCTCTACGTCTGTAAATTCCACATTCCAAATTTTTAATTTATAAAATTCTTAAGTTTGCATATTTCTAATTTACCGACTACCTATATTCTCAACTTCCTACATCTCCCAGTCCCTACAATAGAACAATCTTAGCTTATCGAATTGCTATACCCTCTTTAAGTTTTTACTGCCTCCTAGACCTCAAATTCCAGCTCCTCAAATTTCCTCGTGTCTAGATTTCCAAATCTCCAAAATCATTAAAAATCATCGAGTGGTAGGTCCTTCCAAATTGGCTACAATATTTCTCCTGAAGAATTAAATATCCTCGTGACTGTACTTTAGACTGATATTGTTATCGGCTCCAATCGATGACTAGTTTTTATTTGAGCATATCAGTGTCTCGCACCGAGGTAGTCGAATACTGTTATATTTTATACGACACTGTTTCAATTGGCAACATGCAGCAAACAAATCAATTCAATTATAAACCGATATAAAATCTTCGTGTACCCCGTGGATGAATCGTGCGCGACACACGAAATGTAAAGTCTAAATTTCTCTTAAGTTCGAGTCCACGACATTTGGTAAGCAAAATAAGTAACAAGAACCAGTGGTGGGTTCGCGAGAAAAATACGAGAGAAATTTGCGACGTCGTTCTGGAGGTAGAAGCCGGTATTGAAACTAATTAATATCATTCTCCCCTCTTTTGCAGTGACATTTATATACGCACGGAACAATGCGAGCGGCGTGTAACTTAATTAAGACAACGACGCAGACCTGACCGTGGCTTTGTGGCTACAGTTTCCCTATATCCGGTTCGCGTGGTTATTATCTAGTCTCGCGCCCTCTAGCGACCCCTGGCGAATACACGCCGTGGAATTGCGTTTGTTGCATTGCTGTTCGCGTACTCGTTCAGCCGCGTTCCGTTTCCGTCTTCCGTTTAAATCCGTTACACCGACCGGGGAGAATGGCCGAATATTCATAGATGTCGCGGAAGATTAACCGAAGGAAATTAAGTTTTCGATGGGACGGGATCCAATTTCGCGTTATTGAAACCGACAGATTATTCATGGTATCCCCCTTGGAGTCTTGTCTAAAAGGATCACCGAGGGAGAATGCCTTTCTCGCGAAAAACTCGCTGAGATATTTGGAACGTGAAATTTTAGCGCGGAATAAACATGAGATAGATTGTCGCGATGGTTCCAATATTCGCCGCGCGAACTTCGCAATGCCATTTTTCTCCAATGTTCTTGCTTCGAATAGTCTCCCTTCGCTGGAGAATTACGAGAAAACATTGTTATAAACGTGGATCATGTTAGGAAGTTCAGGATATTAGCTTAACACTTAACAGTCCATGTAGATTTGTAAGTCTCCGTTCTGACTCATAAGCAATTATATAAACGGATCAATTCCAATAAAAGGATTGAGTTGTACAGTAAGTACAAAGTAACATAAATTACATGTCGCACCAGAAGTTAAAGAGTAATAAATAATTTTGAATGACTAAATTACGTGTGAAGATAAGTTAGGTTCATAATACAAAGAAGAATAAATAGAAATTACAGGAAAATAACGTACTGTTGCATTCTACCTCATAGCCATAATAATATTATATCTTAACGACATCACTAATAGGTCGTAAAATATCAATGATATACCAATAGTGTGGTAATCGATAGCAGCAGTTCTGGTATAACCGCAGAAAAAGCGGTTCGCTATCGCGAAATGCAGCCGATAGTCACCATTTCTCTCGGTCGTGATAGTACGTTTTTAATAGGGATCATATTTCAGAAAAAGAGTCAATTATGCGTCGTCTCCAATCAAGCGGATCGCGTTTCCCGAATAAATTATCAACAACAGGCTTAACGAGTTCTCGAAAATGAACGCGGAAAGATGGACGAGAGGATCCGTTTCTAAAAAACCGATCGGGAACGAGTCGGCACTCCCCGGTGCCCTAGTGGTATCATTAGCAAAATCAAGCCATTAACGCGGACAAAAGGCGACGGACGCGTTAATCGAACGAAGAAGAGGCGAAAAAGCGGGATCGTAAAACGCGTTTATTCGGGCCGGACCGGGTCGCGAATGCCTCCGTGTCGGCAGGCTACGAGACAGAGGGCATTAAAATGTCAGAAGTCTGATAGGTAGCTCGTACGGCAGTGCGCATAACTGCCTGATTAAAAGTAACGACTCGAGCGTAAACGTAATTTACGGCCAATCACGGGGACCCCACCTACTTAAACGCGTGCGACGAAGAAAGACATCTTTTTTTCTCTCCTTTCACCCTGCGCTCGTTTCTTTCCCTCATCCCGCCCCTGTCATTCAAAAAGGTGTCAACGACGATCGCTTTTACGAGATACTTATTAATTGTTACTGCGCTTTTACGACGGCATAAAAGCGCGGTCTACGACCGTTTGAGTGGGCACCACCGACGTGTTAGGGGGATTCCCCCGCCGGATTATTGCCTCCGATGAGGCTATACGACGAGAGTATAGGCTACACACGACGGCACCGACGGCCTCCTTGTTGATCCGAAGACGGGAAAACGATATAGTGGAAGGAATGAGACGTGCACAGTGAGGGAAATGGGGAAACAACGATTCGGGGAACCAGTCTGGATTTTCGATCGTACACGACCATCCGCTTCTCTGTTTCGGTAGATGGATCAGGGCAATTGCTTTCTTTCCAACGTATTATCGTTTTCATTCTCTCTTGTGAAACATTGACTGTATTATACTTTATCTCTGCGTATCTAGATCTCTAGATTTCATACTTCAAGAAGTTATATCTCCGAGACATCAAAAAATAGTATGTTTGTAATACAAGAAATTATATATTGTTCAATAATAAGCCTCAAAATCGTTCATGAACATTTATAGTAATTTACGACATAAATAATCAGATAATTGTAGAAACAATTGTTTGTATTGTAATACTCTTGAAGCGGTACGATGAAATGATCAAAGGGGTCTACGAGTATTCACCTTGCTCGCACAACAGCATGTGGTGCTACATATGCTGCAGGGGCCAGCAAATAGTGGCTCAATCTTGTTTTCCTAACTATCGACTTATTGAACATTCTCTACAAGCTACCAAAAAAAAAAACTTAGGAAATCTATTGCAGCTAATAATCTTTCGTTCTATAAAATTAGAAACTGTACTTAGGTATGCACTTTCATTGAAGGTTCACGCAAATACAATATATATGAACCTTGTATATGTAATCTCATGGGCTCAATATAATTTTTATCCATGAGTTCTGCTACTAATTTTCTACTACAATTAGCAATTCGAACTCCATCTTTCTTGAACTAATCGTATAACTAATTAAACCGCAGTTCTAATACGGACAAGTGTGAGCAATGTAACAAAGTTTGAATCGTATATGCTTTAGCATTATCTAAATTAAAGATATCTGTTTCATATGTTTCAGAGATCAGATGATCCATGTCGATCGGGAAAAAGCGAACTACAAGATCATCGGAGCAATATCAGCGAACATTTCAATTTGAGACGCGCATCTCTGGCAGGAAAAGTGCAAAATAACCATAAGCACGGAAAAGATATTGTTGAAAAACGAGTGTTGAAGAACGGAAATAACGACAGGCGGGAAAAAGGAAGAACAGTGAATGAAGTGTCGCGCGTGTGAAGGGGATGAAACCAAAGGGTTGTAGAAGTAGACGTTAGAGGATGATGGCGTGGTTCGAGGTTTAAGCTTTGGATAAGAAGGACAGAGAGACGACGCGACGGTACGAGAGTAAAAGAGAGTTTTTCTTTTCCTTTGGCTCGTAGCCCCCGCCACGGCTTATCTCCCTATTAAATCCAGCAATTTTAATACGCGTTTCTCGGCAATTTCCGTGCTACACGTTCCACCGTCGACTTAGCACCCCTTCCTCGGCACGAATAGCTTCTTCTGCTCCTTCTCTCCCTGCCAGGCGCTCCTCTACGAGCCCCGTCTGCATCTTTCCCCTCTTCTCCGGAGCTCCGTCCTTTAAATAAACTTTATTTTTACGGTGCTATTTAAAGCAATTTCTGATTTCCCTTAATTCATTACGACGCCGTTCCGTATAGCCCTCTTAACACGCCACGGGCATCGCTGGCATTTCTCATTTCCCCTAGTCTGCACGGCCACCAACAGCTACCCTGTGCTCCGTGTCGCGATTCCAGAATTCCTTGGAATTCGATTTTTTAATCACAAAAGGGCGCTACATCCCTTATTAAGAGAATTTCTATCTTAAACAGCTGTGGGTCAGTGATATTCGAATGCGTTTTCAAGCAGCTCTGCGCACTGACAGATTTTTAAATTTGATATTTCTCAATTTCTACATTTCTGAGCGACTCGTCTTCACATTTCTGAACTTCAACGTTTGGAAATTTTAAGACATCAGCAGTTAGAATATACAAAGCACGATAAATTGAACGAATACAAATTTTTATTTGGTACGTTAAAAGAAGTTTGTGGCGACTACACGTCCAGTGTAAACATGTTTTGATCGAATATCAAAACGAATGCACTATGTAAGCTGAAAATACATTAGCGAGTAAAATCAGTAATCAGGTCATGCAGACCCTGAAAAATACATAATGGAAGGAATAAGTTTGGCGTCTGAATCAGAGGTCTCTATTACATCGGTGGAAATCCGAGAATCGTTGAAAATGTGGAAATACGTCGTAACGATCGACGATTGTAGGAAAGACCGCGAAATTTTTACCGCGTTCGTGGATGGGAGGAACGTTAAGGGTATAGCAATAATCGGTAATAAAGATGTGGGTTAATAAACCGATCGACGACTGGTGGCGGCACCGTCGTCGGGGGCTTTCAGGCGGCGGGCAAACTTTCTTGCCGGGAAATTGAGTCGGATTTGAGTTATTGGAATGGCGTTCGTCCCTTGCACAGGAATCGCCCCGGTCTAGAGGAACCCCCTGTGTCTATTTCGACCCTCCTCCTTCGCCACGCATCTATCGCCATTACCGGCCAACCAGGGGGTGGGAAACTTGTAAATAAAAAGGAGTAACGATGACGTAACCAGCGTTTCGCGGTTGCTCGGGTACCGCCAGCCCCTTCTTTTCTATTGATCTGTACAACGAGCATGGCGTCAATAACAATCGATTATTGTTTCAAGAGCCGCTCGTAATAGGCTCTCGAATGTCTTTATTTTTCTCTTCCTTCGTTACTTGCGATCAACTTACTGAGTGCTTCAGTAATCGCGACTCAACCCTCCAAACGATTCCTTTTACAATTCAATCCCTCGAGTCTTTTTTTCAAATAAATAGTCAATGCTGTTTGATAAATAAATCGAAATGTTATACACGAGATTTTAGCCTTTGTAATGCACAACAAATTTTATAAAAAAATTAGTCTACATTTTATCTTTACTTATACGAATGTAAGGGATGTTATTTTTCAATACCTGATGTTCGGATCATTTAAAGCGTCTCATGTCTAATACATGAGCAATATTGGGCAAATGAATATAGGTGGTAACCACTAATTGTGTTGTTATAACGCTTCAACCCTTTGTTCTTTTCAGGACAAGGGTATCTGAAGAAGACCCTAAAAAAGGGTCGAGACGATATAATAATGTAATTAGTGGTTAACACCCACATTTACCTGAAATACTTATTAGAAGAATACAGATGAAAGAAAGCGATAGAAGCTAAATGACACCTGTACCTTATAGTTTACAAAATAAAGCCTACATGAATTTAATTTTCCAATTCCGACAATTACTAAAATACCCGATGTGTTTCTTTACTTTAATAGTCACCTTTGTGCGGTCCACGAGAAACGATAATCAACTATCCTCCTTATCTCGCAGTGTGTGTTTCGCCTGGCAATTATCGAAAGGGTCGCCACGTATTTTCATTGTTCGCCAAAAGATACTTTCAAGGAGGGTAGGCTCCGAGTTTATCGAACAACGTAAAGATAAGCGCGGTTGATAATGAAATCACGATGATCCCGAATTAAAAGGAGAGTAGGTTAAAGAAAGGGGAGGGGGCAGAGACAGTAGATTTCCCACGTTACATCGTCGCTCCCGGGGCAATTCGTATCGTGTCGAGATCATTATACATTCATACTCGGTCGACGGGGTTAAGCCAAGAGCGAGTTTCTACTTTGCAATAAATTCGACCTTGCGAGGCAATTACTCTGGCCGACCATAACGGACGATAGTCTAAGATTAAAAGAGAAGAGGAGCCTCCCCGTTCCGCCATAAAGGTAAGAAAGAACAGGATGACACGCCGTTGGCCGCAGGTAGGCAACGCGATAAATATGATTTTTGTGTGAAACCGTCTGGAAGACGCGGGATTTGATCACCAAGGGTGGTCCCTGTGCTCGTACGTCACACCCGGCGCACCACCGGCCCTCTCTTTCCCTTCTTCGTGCTCCTTTGACTTTGTTCCACACCCCTCGGTCCTTCAGGAGATCATCGAGACCCATGGACAAGCAAAGACATTCAAGGTCCCGCGTCGTCGTTCGTCACTTTGCCCCGAAAGGGGACCGACCACATCCTTTCTCCGCTCGCCCCTTTTCCCCATCTTTTCTTTTCCCTTTGTCTACCTCGCCTCGCCTCTTTCTCCGACGATGCATCTTAATCTAGATATACCCAACCTCTGATCTCCGTCTCTCCGCTAACGACTAATCCTATCTCTTACCTAAACCATCTCACCCTACGCTCCGTGGCCCCTGCTGCCTCTCGCCTTTGCCCTCGCGCGAGCGACAGTAGGGCCGACAGGTTTGTAAGACACGATCGTTGTTTCGCCGTTTGCAGTCGAATTCTTTCCTCTCCTCTCGAGGTGTCACCACTCTATTTACGACCAACGGATGGACAAACCGATCTGGCAACGATCATTCCCGTCTACCTAATTTTATACCACGATTCATCTAATTTCTACGAAATCCTTTTTCTAAGTTGCTCTAGGCACATTCCTTGCTGCTAACATCGGCTCGATCACTCGCAAAAATCCGATTTCGCCTAGAGAGAACATCGCGAATCGTCGAGTAAATTCTCTTCTTTTACGATCGACTCGGCGAATCGATTCGCGGAGGAGAAGGACGTTCGAGTCACGATCAAACGAACGAGACCGTCGCGGATTCAACGGGTCGGGTTTTACGAGCCGATAGTCGAAGACACGCGAGGAAAGTAAGACGATCGTAAGATAGGCGCGAGCGTAGAGCAATCCGCGTGAAACTGGATTTATCGGGAACCCCCTACGTGCTCGGAGCTCTCCGATAGAGCGATAAATACAAATTCCCTTGGATTCTGGATAATGACGTCCATATATCAGCACCGTGTACGCTGTTTATCCAAGAGGACAGTAAGAAAGAAACGAGTAATTAAGAATCTGGTCAGAGAACAGGACGACTGGTCCGCGTTCAGGTTTCTCTTTTTTTACTTATGGAAACGCGAGCAGCCCCGCATAAAAATTTGAAACGAGGTCCAGGAGAGCAACTCTTCGAGAACTTTGCGCCATCCATTGTTCGCTGCGACGATGTCCGCTCCGAGATTCGCGGAGATTTACGAAGCAAGTATAAACATTGAGAAGATTACGGGAGAGCTCATTTTAAGTTCTAACGAGCTCCCCTCGGCTCGGTGTCGCCGGCATTATCAAATAATTGAGAGATGTAACTCAGCGCTATCTGTGCTGCACCCTCGGTGCTGTGTCCCCCTATTCTTGTCACTCTTTACTCCGCAAAAAAACCCTCTAAACTAGATCGATTCTGCCTCTCTTTCTTCCGTTACGACCACCCTGCTCCATGATAACCGCTTACCCTCCAAGACTCTTCTTCCGGACCGAACGTACCTGTAATTTTCTTTCCAAGTCGTGCTCGCGAACGGACAGGGAGCTATTAAAATTATTCGGAAGAACTCATCGTTTTAAAATTCAATCAGTTCTTCCTTCATTGATAAGAAATTCGTTCTGAATGTTCTTGAAGGAGATTTTTATTATAGGGTAAGCGTTCTAGTGAAGGGGTAGAAACAGGGACGTAGCGTGTTGAGGTACACGTTGTGCACCCCAATGGGGCGACACTTCGATCGATTAAAGGTACAATCAAATTTAATTGTATGACATTATTTAAGAAATTATGGAATTATATACACGACATCTACATAATCGACAAGGAAAATAATTCAGTAACATCAGTGTACATCATTGTATGTGCACATGCTACAAGATGAGTTCTAGGAACTAAGAGAAGCAAGTGCATTTTCTTTGTTCTTCGCCCTTGCTAGTACAAATGACTATCTTGTAACGAACGAATAGTACATTACATCGCAATAAAGAGTTAACAAAAAAGAGGTACAAAGTGTTGAAAAAATGCGACTGTATCAACCTGGCCGTGAATCAACTGTCTGCCGTACTAATTTTAACCAGCGTTTCTGAAGTAGGAAGGTCGGTTTTTTAAAGTTTGCAGAAAAACGGCTGGGAGTAAGAGGGCAACAGGGTAGGTAACCCCCCGTTGAATTCAGCCGTAACGAAGATGCCGCATCCTCGTGGCGCTCCAACGAAATATAAACAAGCTCCGCGCAGCTTAATGCGTCCCGTACGTCACGTGGAAAGATTAAACAGTTAATAAGAATAAGAGTCTCCGAGCGGTGTTCTCCCCCTTTATTCCTCGAACGGGGTTTCTTTCGTAGGTCGCCGCCACGGCCGCGCTTAGAGTAACAGAGACGGAGTGACAGGCCGACGGTGGGAGGGGGGACACTTCCACGGGTGGTTGGAGGGAAATGGCGGCCATCTTTCCCACGGGCTCTTCTCGAGAACCAATCGCCTTTCTCGTACGAGCATTAAGGCGGCAACTCTGGCTGAAGAATTGCCTCTGCCAGGTTAGACACATTTTTCTCGCTTTTCCTTTATTCTCTTCTCTGGCTCCAGGAGTCCCGGGACTCTTTCCTCTCTCTTCGTCCTTGCCAACTTTCTCTCTCCGTCTTTTTCCTCTTGTACCATCTCCGGCGCGGCGCGTCGTCGTCGTTTCGCATCTCTTATTTTCTTTGTTCAGCCAGACCAAACCCCGCTGCTGCATCCTTCTTCCTCCTTACTCTTTCTTTTGCCGCTCGCCGCCTCGTCGTTCTTCCACTTTTCTTCTTTCTTTCTTTCTTTCTTTTTTTTACCTTTCGCCCGCTGTTACGTATAGCTATAGCACAGAGGGGTATAATAGTGTTCATCCCTGAAGTGAGCTCCATCGAGCGGCAGGTGGCTGACCTTAATAACGCGCCACGCAACGTTTCACGGGGGTCTCCTTCGGGCGAAAAGAAAATCGTCAGTATGCCATCTATGAGACGTCAAATCGAAGATTTAGGAGACAACAACGAGTTGTGGCGATTCACTGACGCGGTGAAAGCAGTCGCTTTTCGGGGAGGAGCGATAGGTCGAAACTTTCGATACTCCTCGATGGGAAAGTTCGAACAATCGGTTCTCCAAGGATTTCGACCATGTCTAATGAACAGGTCGCTGTATGACGAATGGTAACGGCGTGCAGAAATGTCCCTAGATCCGTCACAACTGCCTAAATCATCCGGAGCTGTAACTTTCTTTGGAGTTTTATTTTATTGTCCTCTTATGGAAGATAGCTGTCTATTCGAAAGGTTCACTGTAGCTCCGGCGTTTATTTGGTCAAGTGACTTTACCGGGGATGAAGAGAGAGCCATTGACGGGTGTTGTTGGGAATCCCCTGTACATTTAAGAGGTCGTAAAAAGAACCATATACCATACAGGTTGAACAACAGAAGAAAGTATTAACCTCCTGAACTGAGATACGCTTTGTGTGTCGCTGACAGGTTATACGTTGTTGCTATCACTATTTCTGCAGAAGTTTAACGTTCGCTCCAGGGGTAACAGGTGCAGCTTGACCGATATACAGCGGAGGAAACACTTCTCAAATATATGAAACTCGTATTTGTGCAGTGATTTAGCATGCTAGGTCCTTGTTCTTCTACACCCCCTGACTTTTAGTACTTTTTTATATTTCAGCAATGTTACGGTCAAAGGTTGTTTAAAACGCAGTTGAGATTGAAAGTGTTACAGAAGATTGATAATACACACATAATCAGTATATGCACATGTGCATAGAGGATAAATTTAGGAACAGTATACTTTTGTTATATTGCCACCGTGTAAATAGGGCATATGTATCAAACTGAAAAGGGTTGAACTTATAATATCGTTCAACTTTATATTCTTAAAACCTGCATTATATAATGTGTATATCACTAGTGATATGAATTAAAAAAAAATGACTATGCACGTTATCAAATTTGAATACAAATGTTCTCAAAATATAAATTGTAAAACTGCAACACAACATTATGTAACGAAAAATTTAACGGTCCGGCAAACGTTCAAATATACACGCAATGTTTTTTGTTGACTCGTATACCGTGTTGGTTGGCATACGTGTTGTAGCGATGATACGATGATATTCCGATACGCAACGGTTTTATTCATTTTATGACTTCTTTCGCTGCCACTGTAGTAGAACATTTCCAATTCATGAACGAGTTTACTGAACCAATAACGAGCGTCGCGCCACCGTAGATAGTCAAATAGCATTAGTTGAGGTTAGGGAACACGCGATTGTATGGTTATTGATAAAACTTTTGTACAAAACACGTGAAAATGTAAAAATGGAAATGATAGGGACAATAAAGTTGCCGCAATACGATCATTTTTATGAGCGAATTACAAAAACCGAAATTAACCAATGCAAATGCCCTAACCAAAATAAAAAGGACTTATGCTCTTTCAGGACTATAATATTGTAATAAATAAAGCACTTCGTAATCCCAATAAGAGCAGTAATATAATTAACATGTTGGTAATCAAGGATGGTCTATCTGTGAATTTGAAAATTTGAAAATTTATGAAGTTAATTTGATATGGTTTCTATTTTCTAAATTTCTAAATTGGTTTCCAATAATAATAAGATCAATAAAGTCTTGGAAGATTGACGATATGAACCGATACAATCAATCGCTGTTATTGGATTGTGTGTTGATTTGGAATAACGAGGGACGATCATCGGAAAATGGGTAAGTAAAACGTCGAGTCCTTTTCTGTCTAGACTTCCTGGCTGGCAAAACTGAAGAGGGGGCAA